AAATTAATTCAAACCTGAAACAAGTTCCTAACCAATCGTAAACGAAAAGAAGCCTACTCCATTTCTATGTGAATGTATACAAAATAATATAGGCGCGTGTACTACTTTATAACTGGTTGTTAATATCTTTAAATTAAATTGCAATGATTCGATATATTGTCAAGACATAACTTTATCATTCCGACAGGTGTTTTTGCTGAATAATTTTTGTTTATTTTTACGCAGGAACGGAAAACTAAAAATATTTATAGTTTTAACTGTTGTTTTCAGATTTTTTGAATAAGTTATGATTTAGAAATTGAATTTAAAAAATGAAACTTATTAAACGTGCTTATATGGATGAAGTCAAGTCAAATGGAGGTTAATGTATTATTTTCGCCTTATCAAACAATAATGCCCAAACTGCATAGCTTTCTAAAATAAGTATGGGACAGACCAATCTGTCAATGTACGGTTGTGAAATATATGTACATTGAGAAAAACAAATTTGAAATATAACCGGCTGGCGAGATAAAATTCGCTTACCAAACCCGTTCGTCTTAATTTATTAGTTATTAATTCAATTGAACGCATGTAAGTTAGGCTTCCCTTTTGCAATCAGGGGCGGTGGGGTAGCCTTGTGGTTAAATCGTTCGCTCTTCACGTCGAAGTCCCGGGTTCGATTTCCCACATGTGTAAAATGTGTAAAGCCCGTCTCTGGTGTCCCCCGCTGTGATATTGCTGGGATATTGCTTAAAGCCGCGCAAAACCACACTCACTCACTTTTCTTTCAGTTTGGGAATCGGCACGTATCGTTATGGGCATAACATGGTCAATTTCTTTTTACAATAACAGATTTTAAAAAACACAAATCTTCAAAAATGGTTGACCTGTGTGATAGCTTCACTATATAAGTCAACATTATTCTTGATTTGACATTGTCGGATAAAGTGATAGCTTCTGAATCACTCAAAGGGTCAATCAGATTTTAAAAAACACCTCTTCACAAAAGGTTGACCTGTATGATAGCTTCACTATATAAGGCAACATTATCCTTGATTTGACATTGTCGGATAAAGTGATGGCTTCTGAATCACATTATGGTTCAATCATATTTACTCATTGACAAATTGCGATAGATTTATTCAGGACATCTCCTTGTGGATGCTTGCTAATAGGGGTGGGTATTGCAGAGAATTTTCATATTGCGATATATTGCGATGCGGAAGCATATATTGCGATATGTATTGCAATATTTTGCAAGAATTATTTTTTTAACAAAATCTACTTATAATCGAGTTAATGCTTGATTATAAAGCAAAAACACAACAAAATCACTAAGATTGATTAACCTTTGATACGAACTTGTAATCATGACAAAATAAAAATGTAAGTAACATTTGGCACTAATGAAACAGGGAATAGAACAATTAAAAAAACGGAAATATCCGAAGATTTCCGAGTGTTACGAAGTTTTCGAATGCATGTCAAAATACCGGTTTTCGATCAGCGTATCGCAATACGTATCGTTTTCATGTCTGAACCGGTAAATACCGGTAAACCGGTTATATTGCGCAGCCCTACTTGCTAATGTCCGTTTTACACACCGTATTTGAACCGGACGCTGTATCTATGCACGGGGCGTCACAAACAGCGACAACTATTTTAGACATAACGGTAGCTATGACAACAGTGCTTACGTTCACACTTTCGTCGTGTCGAGACGCCCGCCATCAAGTATTTGGTCTGAGGAGGGGCGCCTGTTCATCTGCAGCACTGTTATTGCCACAAGGTAAGAGTCGTGTTACTTCTACTATTTACAATACATAGGTAATTAACTAATATTCAATACCACAGGACCTACATTGTTTCAGGCATAAATTTAACTTTTATTTCGTTTCAAAGAGAAATTATCTTTTAAAAATGAAGCTGAAAGCAATTTTCTGATCCATGCATTGTGACGGGAACTCCTAAAATACATACTGTTGCTGTTTCATAGCCACCTGCGTCATGTTTTTGCAAATATTCTCCATTAAAATTTATCAAATGACAAAATATTGTCAATATGTGACTCATTTGTATTTAAAATATTCAGGAGTCGTTTGGGCTGGTTTCGATTCCCCACATGGGTACAATGTGTGAAGCCCATTTCTGGTGTCCTCCGCCGTGATATTGCTGGAATATTGCTTAAAGCGGCGTAAAACCATACTCACTCACTCAAAATATCCGCTCAAATATGGTGAGTTGTTAGATGTCTCGTTTTGTGGATCAGTTGAACTTTTTAGATATTTAAATTATTGCACACAAGCTACTTCCGTCGTTCCGTTATCTAAACGACAATAATTTAATGACATTAATAAATGTAATGACATAAATATGACAAAGCAAAGATTATTATGATATGATTATCCATTATCTAAACGACAATAATTTAATGACATTAATAAATGTAATGACATAAATATGACAAAGCAAAGATTATTATGATATGAGTATCCATTATCTGAACGACAATAATTTAATGACATTAATAAATGTAATGACATAAATATGACAAAGCAACGATTATTATGATATGATTATCCATTCATATAATTTTAACAGCTATTTTTCCCTTCACACCAAACGGAATCCGTTTCTGAGGATAGTCAAGACTGGGTACTCTTTTGCACTGACGTTCCATGCATAAACCGCTGGCCAATACATTTGAAAATGACTTGATACAAAAGTTACAAAAGTTAATCAGTCACTGAAATGCTGGGTACTTTATGTCCAATACACAGCCTTGATGCCTGCACCATATAGACAACCAACAAAAGGCTGCTCATCATTCGTGTCATGTTTAGATATCATCAAACATGGGTGAAAACTTGAAATTCTCAATTAATTCAAACCAGAAACAAAAATTCCTTGCCTACTCCTTTTCCTTTTCCATAGTATACTCATGCCAATAATGGTTGTCACCCCCCTCCCCACCCCAACCCCACACACACCTCTCACCCCCAACCCACACCCGCTCTCCAATTACAAAAATTGAATTGGGTGACAACCATTATTGGCATGAGTATATATACAAAATAATATCGGAGCATGTATAACATTATAACTGGCTGTTAATATCCCTATATAAAACTATGATTCGATGTATAGTCAAGTCATAATTAAACTCACTCACTCACTCACTCACTCTATGAGGGTGTGATGACCCTAAAGCAAAATTCACATTTCAGATACACACTATATACACCACATTCATAATTCGCATATACAACACTGGCTCCACATTTTCATCTCACGGTTGTTTCATTCTCAGCCTTCCTCACACAGAGCTATTTATTCTCGTTTCTGTTCTCTAAACTCTTAAACAAGACACAGCCTTTTAGGAACACCAGGCTGACAATGATCAGACAAAACGCGGTTGCTTGATGCAATACAGACACGAATAATACTTGCCACAACGACAGTAAATATGGTAGACACCAGACACACAGATAGTAAATATGCGTGACACTACACATGTTACAAGAGACACCACAAAGATGCTAAACAGACACCTCACATGTTACAACAGATACCAAGAGGATCCTAAACAGACACCTCACATGTTACAACAGATACCACAAACATGCTACACAGACACCTCACATGTTACAACATATACCACAGAGATGCTAAACAGACACCTCACATTAGACAACAGACACCACAGAGATGCTAAACAGACGCCTCACATGTTACAACATATACCACAGAGATGCTAAACAGACACCTCACATGTTACAACAGATACCACAAAGATGCTAAACAGACACCTCACATGTTACAACATATACCACTGAGATGCTAAACAGACACCTCACATGTTACAACATATACCACTGAGATGCTAAACAGACACCTCACATGTTACAACAGACACAACAAAGATGCTAAACATACACCTCACATGTTACAACAGATACCACAAAGATGCTAAACAGACACCTCACATGTTACAACAGATAGCACAAAGATGCTAAACAGACACCTCACATGTTACAACATATACGACTGAGATGCTAAACAGACACCTCACATGTTACAACAGATACCACAAAGATGCTAAACAGACACCTCACATGTTACAACAGATACCACAAAGATGCTAAACAGACACCTCACATGTTACAACAGATACCACAAAGATGCTAAACAGACAACTCACATGTTACAACATATACGACTGAGATGCTAAACAGACACCTCACATGTTACAACAGATAGCACAAAGATGCTAAACAGACACCTCACATGTTACAACAGATACCACAAAGATGCTAAACAGACACCTCACATGTTACAACATATACCACTGAGATGCTAAACAGACACCTCACATGTTACAACAGACACAACAAAGATGCTAAACATACACCTCACATGTTACAACAGATACCACAAAGATGCTAAACAGACACCTCACATGTTACAACAGGTACCACAAAGATGCTAAACAGACACCTCACATGTTACAACAGATACCACAAAGATGCTAAACAGACAACTCACATGTTACAACATATACGACTGAGATGCTAAACAGACACCTCACATGTTACAACAGATAGCACAAAGATGCTAAACAGACACTTCACATGTTACAACAGATACCACAAAGATGCTAAACAGACACCTCACATGTTACAACATATACCACTGAGATGCTAAACAGACGCCTGCTAAACAGACGCCTCACATGTTACAACATATACCACTGAGATGCTAAACAGACACCTCACATGTTACAACATATACCACTGAGATGCTAAACAGACGCCTCACATGTTACAACATATACCACTGAGATGCTAAACAGACACCTCACATTAGACAACAGATACCACAAATATGCTAAACAGACACCTCACATGTTACAACAGATACCACAGAGATGCTAAAAGACACACCATGCATGTGTGTGTGCCGTTCTTCTCATCGATGCTTTTATACCTCACCTACAGTTTCAGCTCTTGACACCCAAGATGTCCTGGCTACTTAAGCGTCCACGCGTCGAACCAAAGACGTCATCTGAGAATCGCCAGTCGGTGACGTCATCCAACACGTCCTTGACCCCTTCTCAGCTTGACCTTGCCATACGTGACCTTCTCAAGCTTCACCCGCAAAGGAACAGATGTGAAGAGTTTTGTAGAGGTACAAATGCTCTATGCAGTCTATTTACTTCTGCCCGTGAAGGGGCGGTGGGATAGCCCAGTAGTTAAACCGTCCGCTCGTCACGCCGAAGGCCCGGATTCGATTCCCATATGGATACAATGTGTGCAGCCCATTTCTGATGTTCACTGCCGTGACATTGCTGGAATATTGCTAAAAGCGGCGTGAAACCCAACTCACTCACTCTACCCTTGAAGATCGGGGTTAGCAACCCATGCAATTAGAGAGATCAGTCGGTCAGGCTAGCTAGCTCAACGAAAAATCCCGACATGTTACGGGTGGAGATTGAACGCCACAGGTCCCTGAGGTAGCGAGTCATGCGAAATTTGGGGCAATACCAAGGAACACAATAAGCAAGCTGATCAACAGTATTCCATCAAAGTGTCGGGCATTTGTCGCCAAACATGGGTACTTTAATTTTGTCAGGTGGTACCAACGGCCAAAGAACACACACAAAATATTTGGGGGTTGGTTGGGTGAAATTATGTGCTTCACTATAATATCACGTCCCCCAAAATATTAGACCCGTGAAGATCCGGCTTAGAACTGATCTTCAGTTACCCATACTTGTCGTAAGAGGCGACTAACGGGATCGGGTAGTCAGGCTCGCTGACGTGGTTGACAATCGCATCCCAACTGTGTAGATAGATGCCCATGACGTTGATCACTAGATTAATTACAGTCGTCGCTGGAATATTGCTGACTGTGGCGTCAATCACCAAACAAACAAAACTAAAAATGCAAAGTGAATTGACATGAGAGCATAACTTGTGAAAAGTCAGGGAGTTACCTGAGCATAACTTGTGAAAAGTCAGGGAGTTACCTGAGCATAACTTGTGAAAAGTCAGGGAGTTACCTGAGCATAACTTGTGAAAAGTCAGGGAGTTACCTTCGTCTTACCGCAAAGATAATCTAGATTTCACTGTTGAATTCATTTCATTCTTTTAAAAAGGGCTGGAGCATCAATGAAGATATAGTCTATACGTTCGCCCAGGTCAAAGACGACGCAATTCGTTGTGTAGAGTTGCGTCCCTTTGGGCAAGTGATCCTGCTAACCTCGCGTCGACCTTGATAATATTGTTCTTTAGAACCAAACCCGTGTTTCTTAAGAACAGTGATAAACATCTGTTACTATCGGGCTTTTCTCAAGGCGGTGGGGTGGTGGTTAAAGCATTCGCTCGTCACGCCTAAGAGCCAGGTTCGATTCCCCACATGGGTACAATGTGTGTAGCCCATTTCTGGTGTCCCCGCCGATATATTGCTGGAATATTGCTAAAAGCGGCGTAAAACTTTACTCACTCACTTACTCTGGCTTATTTTCTCCCTTTATAAGCTGATACGCTGAAACAGTGTTAAAAGTGGCGTAAAACTAAACTCACTCACTCTGTTTTGAAAGGCAACCCGATAACCTCCTCCGGGAAAAGAAAACAGCTGGTCAAGATGGTGTCCATAGTGATGATCCCCGTGGCTGTGCTGACCGGCCTGACTGCCAACACCTTCTTCGCCACCTTCACCAACTACGCCCAGTCGTCTGACATCCGGGCAACTCTTCTCTACAGGTACTGCATTCGAACGTGAAACGACTAAAACTCTCAATATATCCTCCGAAACAGGCACGTCGACATTGTTAACGACTATTTTAGTTTCACGAGTGAAATCATTTCAAAATTTGGCATTTTAGATTTTATATTTGTAAATGCAAACATTTTCTCAAATAAATCGCTTTTGTGAAAAGAACAGAAATGTATATGCATATCAGGATATAGTTATCGATCGTCACCGAAGATCTTACAGATAATTCCTTTTAGGTCCAGTGTCCATATCCTGAATATATGACTTCTTCTTATTCTTTATACGACCTTTTAAGAGCTAATTCTTGCTCCTTCATCAGGTGAATAAAGAAGTTGTTAGCCATAAAACATGTCATGTATTCATGTTCGTCCAACAAAGGACTTCAAATAACATCTGACGTACATAAGTCGTAAAGGAATTCCTTTTGGCAACCGTCACCAGTCTTTTATCTGTCCTGAAAGGATTAGTATACTCTTTAACAAAAGTAGGGGAACCTGAACTTCCAGTTAGGACAGGAAGTATAAGCGTCAACAAACTTTTCAAAGACAGATATCTTATGAACGCACCACCATTTCTCTTCATCACCGCCCCTTTATCACAACGCATGGGATAACGTGCATGGGGTGTCATTCTTGATTTTGACGGTTTTCAAGAAGGTCGATAAATCACTGTAGACCATTAATTTTGACAATCATCTTGCTTCACACAGTTGGTAGTGTTTGTTTCTAGCCGTTTGTTTTGTTTGAAAATGAAAATCGTACACATGCATATTTCACGTCATACACCAATCACCTTTCAAGAGCGATTACTGTTGAAAAAACATGGTCATAAGGAAGTGCAAGTGGTGATGCACTCTTAACACATTCATTATCATCATATCAACATTGACTGACTCCGATATATCTCCTATTTTCTTCAATCGTAAATTAAAAATGAAGTTCCCGTACGTTTTTGAAAAGTATACGTCAAAAAGCGTTAAAATAGCAGGGATTAAGCACCGTTTTAAATTACCGTTCGATGATTACCTTCAACATATTCTGTTAACCCTCAGCGTAGAGCTTGGCAGCGTCATACATTACCTCCAGGAAGAACGAGATATGAGCGCCCTCTATCTGAGTTCCATCGAGGAGAAGACGAAGAGTTTGCTGCTGCAACGGTATCCGGAGACTGACCGGTCGTTGGAGACGCTGACCTTCTGGACAACCGGACCCACGCTCACCAGGACGGAGTTCCAGTCCAAGGACAAGTTTCTCTCCTACCTGAACAGGTCCCTCCCTCTATGATTATTATGTTTATGAACCGCCGTAATATTAATGAAATATTGCTTAAAGCGGCAACTCACTCACTCGATATTATTATTATGATGATATTATGATGGGATTTGGCCTAGTGTCAGACGACACATTCCGAAACATTCCTGATCGACTGATTCATTCTCAGTTCTCGGGGGCGGTGGGGTAGCCTTGTGGTTAAAGCGTTCGCCCGTCACGCCGAAGACCCGGGTTCGATTCCTCACATTCCTCGAGTTCGTGTACAGAGATTTGTTCTTACGTGCATATTTTGAACACGCTACACTTGGCACAGTACTTGTCCAGAGAACAGGATCAAACTCTCAGTGCTGTTTATGACACAAAATGCAATTTGTAAGTCTTCTTATGAGAAAGGCCAGTGTTGAGCACGTTCATGAGTGAGTGAGTTCAGTTTTACGCCGCTTTAAGCAATATTCCAGCAATATTACGGCGGGGGACACCAGAAATAGCACAGTCTTACTCTTTACCTCGAAACTTATTCGAGAATGAAACCGGGTTGGGTTTCAAATATCCACATGGGTACAATGTGTGAAGCCCATTTCTGGTGTCCCCCATGATATAGCTGGAATATTGCTCAAAGCGGCGTAAAACTAATCTCACTCACTCACTTGGTGAAAAAGTCAGATATAACAAAAATGGAAACATAATGTACTGGATAATCAAAGATGTTTTTTTTATAAAGAGTGGTTTACACGTTCAGCTAAACCTATCGTTTCTTGACAGACATCGCTATGAGCTGGACACGCTGAACCAAACCGTTACCATGGAGCTGCAGATGTACACCACCCTCATCCGTGTGTTCATCACGTGGTTGTACGATGCCGTCACGGAGGACCAGTCTGGATCCATCTGGAGGAGTCTTGTGGCCTACCAGGAAGTTATCATAGCGAAGGAATACATGGGACTTGAGCGGGCTCTGGGAACTATTTTCTACGCAACGGGAACCTTCCCTTCCCAGGATGTGTATCTCTGGTTTTCTGAGAGCCAGGATGTAACGAATGCCACTTTCCTGTCAGCTAGACGATACTCGGATTTGGTTCATGCTCTATATGATGAAAACGTGAACGTAAGTCAAATTGTTGACGAAATACACCTGTTATTTGTGACTTAATTAAGTACCCCCTGTATGTTTGCAAAGGAATATTAATGTTGACTTTATTTGTGAAAATGTCATTTTACGTGCCTTACACGATTCAAGGTCAACACCGAGTGTAACAAACCGAAACATGAGTCTCATTAACCTATTCAGACAATGACCTACTTTTCAGCCGATCTGAATTTTCTCGTGTGAAAGTGAAAATAGACATCACAAACAACTATGGTTACACTGAATTCCAATTTCTTGTTTCGTACGAAAATGGAACTTACAAATGAATTTTAATTTTAAACTTTAATAACATCGTATTTCTATATTTTATGGCAAGGTGTAGGCAGCATGACCTTAACTAAGACGTCACAGACTTTCCCAGGTTGATGAGGTCGTAGAATGATTCACAATGCATCTGGCTCACTGGTTACACCTGTGATGTGTTTTTTTGCGCTTATTCGGTGTAGTTTTGTAACGCACAATGTGATTGATATCATATCAAGTCCGTACCTGACAGCCCAACTTTTCTAGCGGCAGAACCTCGTTTTGAGACTTCCACGATTTCCAGATTTTCGTTTGTCAGAGCACGCTGTACGACAGAGCACGCTGCACGGCGTGTTTGCAAGGATTAGAAGGAGCGTAGTGTTGAAATATACAAGTGCTTAGATGTATCAAATAATACTTATTAATATTTATGTATCCATTTAAATGAATTGGTCTCAAAATTCTGGACTGGTTATTGTACAAAGTTGCGCAATAGCACGCAACCCAGTCAACAGGAAACGAGACTGTTGTGTACTCAATGTTTTGATTTGCTCCATGTAACTGTATGACAGCCAACACACTCCTCCTCATACCCCCTGTCAGCCTCCTGGTCCTCTGAAGGGGCAGTCTACGCCATTCCTCATGTAAAGCAGCTTCCAATTGGGCCAGGTTACGTGCAGGAGGATCCCTTTGTAGCACAAGACGACCAATCATGTCCCAGATATGCTCCAAAGGGCTAAGATTGGGGCTCATTTAATCGTGAGATTTGTCAGAGGGTGCTTAACTGAGTTCTTTGTATATATGTTATGTTTGGGATTATACCTTCTCAGTAATGTGTAATCCCAGAAATAGCATATGTTCCATTTGACAACACCATTGACTGGTGGCATTGTGTATTCATAGCTTTCGGGCGGGGGTGTGCCAATTCACACTTAGAGTACCAGTTGTCCGACGTCCATTTTTTGTGTAAGCTGCGATGGCTGAGTGGGTTAGACGGCTGACTTAGTGTGCTGGCGATTAGGTGCCTGACTACGAGGGTGTGGATTTGAATCTCGGATGGCAGTCAACCTAACAAAAGTACTAGAATCTGTACTTCACTGAAAAAGTGTAATCCCAAATAAAACATACGTTACATTTGACCACTTTTTAAATAGAATTGGGTGTTCACGTTTGTTATTTGTTCTTCATTTTATTTTCTCATTTGGGACTATGGAATACATGAAAACATTAACAGGTTGCCAATTCAGGAATCTTACAAATGCATCGGGACGGAATAAAGTAATCTAGAATAAATCCAGGTCTTCACAAAGAGCTAATCTGTTTACTACTTGTTTCACTAGAAAGATCATCAAAAGCTTTTCAGTAACAGTTCCAATTAGTTATTGACAAAAAATGAGGATTTCGACATTGTAAATATACTGGACAAAAAGGCTGAGAGATTATGAAAATTTTGAGTGGTTGGTTGGTTGGTAGGGTGTTTTACACCGCACTCAGCAATATTCCAGCTTTATGGCGGCGGTCTGTAAATAATCGAGTCTGGACCAGACAATCCAGTGATCAACAGCATGGGCATCGATCTGCGCAATTGGGAACCGATGTCATGTGTCAACTAAGCCAGCGAGCCTGACCGCCCGATCCCGTTAGTCGCCCCTTACGGCCGACACCATCCGACAACATAAGGCAGCCATATTTGGCGATAAATGCCCGACACCTTGATGGAATACTGTAGAAAAACTTGCTTACTGTTTTCCTTGGAATTTCCCCAAATCTCGCATGAATCCGTATACAGGGTAGGCAAGGTTGTTCTGTGGTCTTCAATCTCCATCTGTGAAAATGTCAGTGGATTTTTCGTCCTGTTCTCAGGTCCCAATTTGGGATTCCCTCGTCAATGAAAATGACATCCAAATAGGCGTTAATGCCAAATACATGATTCATCCAATCCGCGTAGAGTGAGTGAGTATGGTTTTACACCGCTTTTAGCAATATTCCAGCAATGTCACGGCGGGGGACACCAGAAATGGGCTTCGCACATTTTTCCCATGTTGGGAGTCGAACCCGGGTCTTCGGCGTGACGAGCGAACGCTTTAACCATTAGGCTACCCCACCGCCCCAATCCATGTAGATGTTTCACATGTAGAATTGCTGTTGCAGGGAAACAAAATGTTATTGGGAGTTTTGGGACGGATGAGAGCAGAAATCAGACGTAACGACCTTGAAGGAAGAGGTTCTGTCAAGATGGCGCAATGGTGGTTCAACAACATGACGATCTACATGGATCTGCTGCTGGAGACACAGCAGGAACTGGCTGTAGAGATCACACAGATGCTGGACGAGAGGCAGGCGACCAATCTGCAGAAGATGGTGGCCATCTCCATCGTCTTTGTCTGCGTCTTCGTTGTCTCAGCTATCATCATCTACGCTGTGTACTCCCTCACCGACGAAATCCAGAAATACTCCATAACTCTTGCTGAGAGGTAAGCGCGTGAGGGAGGGATGTGGTTTAGCCACGGCTTCCTCAGATCGTTTGTACATAAAGTGGTCCTTGACATCGCATCCCAACCCTATCGGTGTAGCTGTGCAACGTGGTCCTTGACATCTCATCCCGCCCCCATCGTTGTAGCTGTATAAAGTGGTCCTTGACATCGCACCCTTCCCCCATCGTTGTAGCTGTATAACGTGGTCCTTGACATTGCATCCCACCCCCATCGTTGTAGCTGTATAACGTGGTCCTTGACATCGCACCCCACCCTCATCGTTTTAGCTGTATAACATGGTCCTGACGTGGTCCTTGACATTGCATCCCACCCCCATCGTTGTAGCTGTATAACGTGGTCCTTGACATCGCACCCCACCCTCATCGTTTTAGCTATATAACATGGTCCTGACGTGGTCCTTGACATCGCATCCCACCCCCATCGTTGTAGCTGTATAACGTGGTCCTAGACATCGCACCCCACCCTCATCGTTGTAGCTGTATAACATGGTCCTGACGTGATCCTTGACATCGCACCCCACCCTCATCGTAGCTGTATAACGTGGTCCTGCCGTGGTCCTTGACATCGCACCCCTCCCCCATCGTTGTAGCTGTATAACGTGGTCCTTGACATTGCATCCCACCCCATCGTTGTAGCTGTATAACGTCGTCCTTGACATCGCACCCCACCCCCATCGTTGTAGCTGTATAACGTGGTCCTTGACATCGCATCCGAACCCCATCGGTGTAGCTGTATAACGTGGTCCTTGACATTGCATCCCACCCCCATCGGTGTAGCTGTATAACTTGGTCCTTGACATCGCATCCCACTTTCATCGATGTAGCTGTATAACGTGGTCCTTGACATTGCGTTCCACCCTCATCGTTGTAGCTGAATAACATGGTCCTTGACATTGCATCCCACCCCATCATTGTAGCTGTATAACGTCGTCCTTGACATTGCATCCCACCCCATCGTTTTAGCTGTATAACGTCGTCCTTGACATCGCACCCCACCCCCATCGTTGTAGCTGTATAACGTGGTCCTTGACATCGCACCCCACCCTCATCGTTTTAGCTGTATAACATGGTCCTGACGTGGTCCTTGACATCGCATCCGAACCCCATCGGTGTAGCTGTATAATGTGGTCCTTGACATCGCATCCGAACCCCATCGGTGTAGCTGTATAACGTGGTCCTTGACATTGCATCCCACCCCATCGTTGTAGCTGTATAACGTCGTCCTTGACATCGCACCCCACCCCCATCGTTGTAGCTGTATAACGTGGTCCTTGACATCGCACCCCACCCTCATCGTTTTAGCTGTATAACATGGTCCTGACGTGGTCCTTGACATCGCATCCCACCCCCATCGTTGTAGCTGTATAACGTGGTCCTTGACATCGCATCCGAACCCCATCGGTGTAGCTGTATAACATGGTCCTGACGTGATCCTTGACATCGCACCCCACCCTCATCGTAGCTGTATAACGTGGTCCTGCCGTGGTCCTTGACATCGCACCCTTCCCCCATCGTTGTAGCTGTATAACGTGGTCCTTGACATTGCATCCCACCCCATCGTTGTAGCTGTATAACGTCGTCCTTGACATCGCACCCCACCCCCATCGTTGTAGCTGTATAAAGTGGTCCTTGACATCACACCCTTCCCCCATCGATGTAGCTGTATAACGTGGTCCTTGACATTGCGTTCCACCCTCATCGTTGTAGCTGAATAACATGGTCCTTGACATTGCATCCCACCCCATCGTTGTAGCTGTATAACGTCGTCCTTGACATCGCACCCCACCCCCATCGTTGTAGCTGTATAACGTGATCCTTGACATCGCACCCCACCCTCATCGTTTTAGCTGTATAACATGGTCCTGACGTGGTCCTTGACATCGCATCCGAACCCCATCGTTGTAGCTGTATAATGTGGTCCTTGACATCGCATCCGAACCCCATCGGTGTAGCTGTATAACGTGGTCCTTGACATTGCATCCCACCCCATCGTTGTAGCTGTATAACGTCGTCCTTGACATCGCACCCCACCCCCATCGTTGTAGCTGTATAACGTGGTCCTTGACATCGCACCCCACCCTCATCGTTTTAGCTGTATAACATGGTCCTGACGTGGTCCTTGACATCGCATCCGAACCCCATCGGTGTAGCTGTATAATGTGGTCCTTGACATCGCATCCGAACCCCATCGGTGTAGCTGTATAACGTGGTCCTAGACATCGCACCCCACCCTCATCGTTGTAGCTGTATAACATGGTCCTGACGTGATCCTTGACATCGCACCCCACCCTCATCGTAGCTGTATAACGTGGTCCTGCCGTGGTCCTTGACATCGCACCCTTCCCCCATCGTTGTAGCTGTATAACGTGGTCCTTGACATTGCATCCCACCCCATCGTTGTAGCTGTATAACGTCGTCCTTGACATCGCACCCCACCCCCATCGTTGTAGCTGTATAACGTGGTCCTTGACATCGCACCCCACCCTCATCGTTTTAGCTGTATAACATGGTCCTGACGTGGTCCTTGACATCGCATCCCACCCCCATCGTTGTAGCTGTATAACGTGGTCCTTGACATCGCACCCCACCCTCATCGTTGTAGCTGTATAACATGGTCCTGACGTGATCCTTGACATCGCACCCCACCCTCATCGTAGCTGTATAACGTGGTCCTGCCGTGGTCCTTGACATCGCATCCCACTCCCATCGTTGTATCTGTATAACGTGGTCCTTGACATCGCACCCCACCCTCATCGTTGTAGCTGTATAACATGGTCCTGACGTGATCCTTGACATCGCACCCCACCCTCATCGTAGCTGTATAACGTGGTCCTGCCGTGGTCCTTGACATCGCATCCCACTCCCATCGTTGTAGCTGTATAAAGTGGTCCTTGACATCGCACCCCTCCCCCATCGTTGTAGCTGTATAACGTGGTCCTTGACATCGCACCCCACCCTCATCGTTTTAGCTGTATAACATGGTCCTGACGTGGTCCTTGACATCTCATCCCGCCCCCATCGTTGTAGCTGTATAAAGTGGTCCTTGACATCACACCCTTCCCCCATCGTTGTAGCTGTATAACGTGGTCCTTGACATCGCATCCCACTCTCATCGTTGTAGCTGTATAACATGGTCCTTGACATCGCACCCCACCCTCATCGTTGTAGCTGTATAACGTGGTCCTTGACATCGCACCCCACCCTCATCGTTGTAGCTGTATAACGTGGTCCTTGACATCGCATCCCACCCTCATCGTTGTAGCTGTATAACATGGTCCTGACGTGGTCCTTGACATCGCACCCCACCCTCATCGTAGCTGTTTAACGTGGTCCTGCCGTGGTCCTTGACATCGCATCCCACTCCCATCGTTGTATCTGTATAACGTGGTCCTTGACATCGCATCCCACTCCCATCGTTGTATCTGTATAACGTGGTCCTTGACATCGCATCCAACCCCCATCGTTGTAGCTGTATAACGTGGTCCTTGACATCGCATCCAACCTCTATCGTTGTAGCTGTATAATGTGGTCCTTGACATCGCATCCGAACCCCATCGGTGTAGCTGTATAATGTGGTCCTTGACATCGCATCCGAACCCCATCGGTGTAGCTGTATAACGTGGTCCTTGACATTGCATCCCACCCCCATCGGTGTAGCTGTATAACTTGGTCCTTGACATCGCATCCCACTTTCATCGATGTAGCTGTATAACGTGGTCCTTGACATTGCGTTCCACCCTCATCGTTGTAGCTGAATAACATGGTCCTTGACATCACACCCCACCCTCATCGTTGTAGCTGTTTTACGTGGTCCTTGACATTGCATCCCACCCCCATCGGTGTAGCTGTATAACTTGGTCCTTGACATCGCATCCCACTCTCATCGATGTAGCTGTATAACGTGGTCCTTGACATTGCATTCCACCCTCATCGTTGTAGCTGAATAACGCAGTCCGTGACACCACATCCCACCCCTATGGTTGTAGCTGAATAACGGTGACGCTGGTCATAAACTGATGGGTTGGTCAGGATGTCCATTTAGATGGCATGCAACGTATTCAACGGCAAGGATAGATGTTCATAGTACCAATCACTGAATTGTATGGCCAAGGCTCGATTATTTCAAGGTCCTCGTCATATTGTTGAGTTCTGCGTCAAATGCCCACCCACGCACGGAGACGCAATACCATTTTATCACACAGTTATTTCGTCATTTCGCAGAACCAAAGCTTTGAATAAGGAGAAGAAAAGGACGGACACGTTGTTGTGCCAGATGCTGCCCAAGTCGGTGGCGGAGTTGCTGAAAAGCAACGAGGAGGTCAGCGCCGAGAACTACACCGAGGCAACCATCTTCTTCTCCGACATCCAAGGCTTCACGCAGATCTCCGCCCGCAGCTCCCCTGTACAGGTGGTGCAGATGCTCAACGGCCTCTACTCCTGCTTCGACGACAGGATCGCTCAGTACGACGTCTACAAGGTGGAGACCATTGGGGACGCCTACATGGTGGTGTCAGGTGAGTGTTGTTTATCTTGCGGTTTCAGGGATGAACCCATGAAGATCCGGGTTAGAAATGATCTTCAGTAACCCATGCTTGTCGTAAGAGGCGACTAACGGGTTCTGGCGTTCAGGCTCGCTGACTTGGTTGACACATGTCATCTTATCCCAGTTACGTAGATCGATACTCATGCTGTTGATCACTGGGTTGTCTGGTCCAGACTCGATTATTTATAGACCGCCGCCATAAAGCTGGAATATTGCTGAGTGCGGCGTAAAACTAAACACACTCACTTTCAGGGATGTGTTCGGTTCACATTAATCCGGTAACATGCTTAGAGACCATACAATCGAGTGATAAACAGCATGAACATCGTCTTAAGCCATTGGGATACAATGACATGTGTCAACAAAGTCAGCGAGCCTGACCACCTGATCCCGCTAGTCGTCTTTTACGACAAGCATGGGTTACTGAAGATCAGTTCTAAGCCGGATCTTCACGGGTCCGTCATGAACCAGAATCAGGATCGACTCTCCAAATTGATACAAATAGATAATTCTTGGAGTTCGCCCCTGGGACATTGCTTAAACGAAAACCTCGTTAAATACTATTTGTTCCAGGTATACCGAAGCTAAACGAACAGCGCCACGCTGTTGAAATAGGCACCATGACACTTGATCTCCTTGGCAGCATCAACCGCCTGGAGATACCCCACCTTCCTGGAACCAAGTTCAAGCTCAGAATTGGCTGTCATACAGGTTTGTTAGATTCATATTAGAGTGTGAGGCTTGCTGGGTGTATAGCGTGTAGGTGCCACTCCGCACTTTTAAACTTGTTTATTGTTTCGTTTGGCAATCCATCCATTGACATCATGAGCCTTGATCTACGCAATTGGAATATAACCAAATCACAAAACCTTAGCACCCAGTTCCATTAGTCGAAGTTTACCACAAACATGGGTTGCTGAAGACCAATATAAACCCTGATGTTCACGGGTTCCTGGACCAACGCTTAGTCTCTGAATATATATAATTTTGATTGTAACAAATATACCCATTTAAATTGAAAAGGAGACCCAGAGAGACCAGAGATTGAGAACCTGGGGAAATCTAGACTTGCTACATTTAGGGCTTAAGCAGTGCAGGGAGGATAGGTTGTAGGGAAAATAACATGGTCCAAGGACTGTGAGACAGTCTCAGGGGTTCCTTACGCATGGCATAAACATTTCCTTATAAACTGGAAACAAACCAATTTTTGTCCTTATGTATAAGGCCCTTCGGATGCTGTGTCTGTTTGCGTCTTAATCTAAATGAACCAGTACATAATACACTGGAGCAAGCTCCACCTCCATTTTAGGAAGTGTTCAAAGAATCCCATAATGAACAAGATAGTTGAAGGACGGAGAGGTTTCAGTTTAGGTTTTGGTCTACAAAAAAAAAATGAAATGCCAAAAAGGAATATTTCTGTGGTTTGACATTTCCTGAACAATCTTATCTTTTCTCTTATTGGAGTAGTCGACATTTTAACTAAACTGCCTTTTGCCAAATCTCAGAATTTCAGTTTTACCATTTTACCAATTTTTTGAGTGAAATGTGGTATTTTTAGTGCTATGCTGATTTTTCAAAAAGTCAAATGGCATCATCTTGCTGAACCCTTTGTTATTTATGGAAGGGAAGTGAATGAATACCGGTGCGAGGAGCTTGGTGCATTTCTCCCTTACATGGGCGGTGGGGTAGCCTAGTGGTTAAAGCGTTGGCTCGTCACGCCGAAGACCCGGGTTCGATTGCCCACATGGGTACAATGAGTGAAACCCATTTCTGGTGTCCCACGCTGTGATATTGCGTAAACTAAACTCACTCACTCACTCTCCCTTGCAGGTTCTGTGGTAGCTGGAGTCGTGGGGACGAAGATGCCTCGGTATTGTCTCTTTGGGGAAACGGTTAGCATTGCAGCAAAAATGGAATCCTTGGGCAAACGTAAGTACAAAGAAGATCTAATATAACCATATTCAGTTTATCCGATTGCTGCTGTTCCCAGAAAAATCACCAAAATACGGAATAAAGTTAATTTCGAAGTTTCACTGTTATCTTGTTATCTTTCCACATTCACTCACTCATGCATTCTCTCACTCACTCACTGAAACAGCATGTAGCTCAGGCAACATAACGGGGCATTTCTGGAAGCTTATTTTACAGTGAAGTGAAGTGAAATAAGATTTATTTTATTTATTTTATTTTATAGTGAAGTGAAGTGAAATATTATTTATTATTTTTTTAAATTGTTTTTAAATTATTTTATTTATTTATTTATTTATATATTTATATATTTATTTATTTATTTATTTATTTATTTTGTAGCGAGTCGCATCCATCTCAGCCAGACAACCTATGACGCTCTTTTGGGAAGAGAAGGCTTCCGACTTGAAGAACGCGAAGACGACATGGCGAGGGTTGGTCTTGCTTCATCATATCAAATCATTACATAAGACATATGGGTGTCCAAAGTCAGTTTTCAATTTTTCACTTATAAGTGAGAATTCTCAGTTCTTGAAAATCTGAATGAAAAGAATTTCTGCCGTCATTCAAGATTTTTGTCAGTTCACAATATAATGAGTTAGTGATTGAATTGAGTTTTACGCCGCACTCAGCAATATTCCAGCTCCCTGGCGGCGGTCTGTAAATAATCGAGTCTGGACCAGACAATCCACTGGTCAACAGTGATCGATCTACGCAATTGGGATACGATGACGTGTCAACAAGTCAGCAAGCCTGACCACCCGATCCTGTTAGCCGCTTCTTACGACAAGCATGGGTTACTGAGATCAATTCTAACCCGGACCTTCACGGGTCTTCAGAATATAAACTTTGCTCATATGTGGAATGGATATTGACTGGTGCACCATAGTTGTTTTTTTATCAATGTTTCGTTACCAACTTCGTTGCATTCCGTTCATAGAAATAATTGTATACATATATAGACGACGAGGATTCGCTAGTTAGTGTTAATATACAAAAGTGATATTTTTCATTTGTTACATCTACGTGTTGATACATTTTCTCTGCAAATGAATGCAGCATTGACATGCATATCATATCATATCATGGCTTGTTTGTTTGTTTGTTTGTATATTTTCATCAGACCCGTGAAGATCCGCGTTAGAATTGATTTTCAGTAACCCATGCTTGTCGTAAGAGCCGACTGACGGGATCGGGTCGACGCTGCGTAGATCGATGCTCATGGTGTTGATCACTGGATTGTCTTGTCCAGATTCGACTTGATTGACACATGTCATCGTATCCCAACTGCGTAGATCGATGCTCATGCTTTTGATCACTGGATTATCTGGTCCAGACTCGTATATTTACAGACCACCGCCACATAGCTGGAATATTGCTGTGTGCGGCGTAAAAGTAAACTCACTCACTAGAAATGTCCAACACATATCTTTCAACAAATGGTCCCATTAAACCTGTTTTTCAAATATTTTTACCAACTGAAAATTCCGTTTGACAGCGAGATCGTGAGCTGCAGATGTTCTTCAAAGGCTATGTTCACACCTACTGGCTTCTGGGAAAGGAAGGGATGCCAATGCGCTCCCCCAATTCCCACGGGAAGACATCTACATCAGAGTCAAGTGCGAGCGAAGAACGGATGCACCACGATGGTGAGTTGTCTCCTGTTAAAGGGGCTCTTTGCACGGGGAAATTGGCTGGGTAAGCAATTTTGATTCAAGTCATTATGACATGGTATGTCTATTTCTTCAGATGTTATGATACAGATGAATCTCACGGTTAATGATATCCCACAATTCAGGTTTAAGGGCAAATTACAAGGTCTAGGAAATGGCATAAGGATGTTGAGAATAGCTTCCGTTTAATGTAGTCACGCTGAGCATCACCTTCGTCGGACCAACAGACCAAAGGAGATGTGTCTTAAAGGATGGAATTACACTGTTATCTGTCAATTTTGCATGACCAACCATGGCCATATATACAGAGTTTGCGCAACAAACAGATACATGCGGTTTTCACACCAAAAAACACACCAGACTGATGAAAATACGTGCATACGAAGCAGAAAGATGAAATGTATATGCAGTTTGCACACCAAAACACCAGACAGATGAAATATACATTCAGTTTTCAACCCAAACACAAGACACCTGAAAATACGCGCATACGAAACAGAAAGATTAAATGTACATGCAGTTTTCACACCAAAACACCGTACAGATGAAAATACGGGCATACGAAACAGAAAGATTAAATGTACATGCAGTTTTCACACCAAAACACCGTACAGATGAAAATACGGGCATACGAAACAGAAAGATGAAATAAACATGTATTTTTTACACCAAAACACCAAAAAGATGAAATATACAGGCAAATAAATTAACATGAGAGTGTAAGTTTTGCCTTCTAATTATGAACGAAACATTTGTCTCATCGATGTTTGGACAACCGCTTATTGCCCGATCTCTCAAAACATGTTTACCTGTTCTGTATGGTTCCAATAAGCTCCCCTTTGTCAGGTGTCTAAGCAATTATACCCTTATTACCGTAAATGCAGCAAAACTACAGCTGTAACGAAGTCAGAGGGACCAGAAAGTTTAGTTCGTTACAACCGTATTTCGTTATAACCGTAGATTGTCATGCGCATTTTGATTGCAAATGTACAGCAAATAGTCGGAACCAGTTCGTTACATCCATCAGTTCGTTATATCCGTCAGTTTGTTATATTCATTAGTTCGTTACATCCATCAGTTCATTACATCCGTCAGTTACTTACATCCATCAGTTCGTTACATCCATCAGTTCGTTACATCCACCAGTTCGTTACATCCGTCAGTTCGTTACATCCATCAGTTCGTTACATCCATCAGTTCGTTATATCCGTCAGTTCGTTACATCCGTCAGTTCGTAACATCCATCAGTTCGTAACATCCACCAGTTCGTTACATCCATCAGTTCGTAACATTCACCAGTTCGTTACATCCGTCAGTTCGTTACATCCATCAGTTCGTTACATCCATCAGTTCGGTTCGTTATATCCGTCAGTTCGTTACATCCGAAACATTTGTCTCATCGATGTTTGGACAACCGCTTATTGCCCGATCTCTCAAAACATGTTTACCTGTTCTGTATGGTTCCAATAAGCTCCCCTTTGTCAGGTGTCTAAGCAATTATACCCTTATTACCGTAAATGCAGTAAACTACAGCCGTAACGAAGTCAGAGGGACCAGAAAGTTTAGTTCGTTACACCCGTAGTTCGTTATAACCGTAGGTTGTCATGCGCATTTTGATTGCAAATATACAGCAAATAGTCGGAACCAGTTCGTTACATCCATCAGTTCGTTATATCCGTCAGTTTGTTATATTCATTAGTTCGTTACATCCATCAGTTCGTTATATCTCTCAGTTCGTTATATTCATTAGTTCGTTACATCCATCAGTTCGTTACATCCGTCAGTTCGTTACATCCATCAGTTCGTTGCATCCACCAGTTCGTTATATCCGTCAGTTCGTTACATCCGTCAGTTCGTAACATCCATCAGTTCGTTACATCCGTCAGTTCGTTACATCCATCAGTTCGTAACATCCATCAGTTCGTTATATCCGTCAGTTCGTTACATCCATCAGTTCGTAACATCCACCAGTTCGTTACATCCGTCAGTTCGTTACATCCACCAGTTCGTTACATCCATCAGTTCGTTACATCCATCAGTTCGTTACATCCACCAGTTCGTTATATCCGTCAGTTCGTTACATCCATCAGTTCGTTATAAGCCTGTTTGTTATAAACGAAGTTTACTGTCTGGTATATTTCACACTCATTCTTAATGCACCGATTTTCACAAGGACCGGCAGATTGTCAACGAGAGGTTCCAGTGAACATGACTCTGGATGCTAGTAGTTACCATCGTGAGATGGGATGTTTATACCTGTAATTTGTATCCCCACAGGTAAAGAACATGTGTGGGAACAACATTGATGCATTGCTGCCAAAACGACATCCTCCAGCGTTTCAAAGTTGTGTACGTTTATAGTAAACACAATGAATGACATATAAATGGAATGTTCACTGTAACTTTTCAATGATTCGAGAGCTTTGGTTCGTGCCAGTTGCCGCTTCGAATTTGTTCTTGAGGTTCTTGAATGTTTAACCTGACGGTCAAAAGAACGCATAAAGATGAAAATTGTATTTGAACATAATATTTCAAACGTTATCAACCCGTTACCAGGTTGAAAACAATTACCGAAACAGTTCGACAATAAGGCCCATTATACGAACAGTATACGTATTTCAAACAGAGCACCGTCAAATCACATTAAAACTCTGCATTCTCGCCTTCAGATGTCTCTCTGGAAATGCTCCTCAATATCTGTCCGGCCTCCTTTCTCCATACAAACCAACACGATCCCTCCACTCCGAGAAACATAATCTTCTGTGCATTCCTAAAGTCAGAACAGTTAAATTTGGCCAAAGGGCTTTCTCTTATACTGCAGCCTTAGAGTGGAATCATCTCCAACTACATTTGATAGGGTTGCCACCCTATCCGGGGTTCACCTGAAACATACGCTTTTGCCAATGAGTCTTTTATTATCGTTCTGTCTGAGTACATGTACTATATATGGTTCATGAGGATCGGGTTAGAATTGGCTCGCCGGCTCGCTCGAATTGGTCTTCAGTAATCCATGTTTGTCCTAACAGGCTGTTAACGGGATCGGGTGTTCAGGCTTTCTGACTTACTTGACACATGTCATCGTATCCCAACATTGTATACAGATGCTCATGATGTCAATCACTGGATTGTCTGATCCAGACTCGATTATTTACTGAATGTCTTCATACAGCTGGAACGTTTTCGGCGCATTTTGATGCATATATTTCTTAAAATGGAAACAGTAATATAAAAATGATATATAGAATCAATAAATAAGTTAATAGGCTCGGCAAATACCGATTAACTAAGACTTGGTTTATATTTCCCAGATTGAAAAAAACACTTGTGAAGAATCCTCGTCCTAACAACAAACACACACACATACGAGACAATGCTCGATTCCCCAAAAGGATAAATTCTGGACCGTGTTTTGATGTGATGTTGTTGTAGCGCTGTTGTATTGTAAAACAAACTATTTCTATTATGTGCTTTGTTTTGTTTTTGACTGGTGATATGCCAGTGCGAGGAAAGGCGGTTATAATTATGTAACACGGCGTCGTGAGAATACCATCCTCGAAAGCACAAATTCTTGGGTCCCGTAATGTGCTTGATTTCATTTGGCATCACACAGAAATGGTATGAAGCACAGATCCGTTTCTGGTTTTGTGCCGCTGGTGGCATTGTGGTGAACAAAACGATACGATAGTCAATCATACGATATCATAACGATGTGTCAGATTTTGAAAAAAGGGTTCAATAGACTGACACCTATCATTTCTGCTTTTATGGAACTGAGATGTAGCCTAGTGATTAAATCGTTCGCTCGTATCGTCTAAGATGTGGGTTCGATTCCGCACAAAAGGACGGTATTCTGGTGTCAGAAGCAGCGTCATACAGCACCGACGTCATCAGATTATGAAATTGATTTTACAAAAATATATTTGCATACATAAGGTGAGTGAGTGAGTGAGTTAAGTTTTACACGCACTCAACAATATTCCAGCTTTATGGCGGCGGTCTGTAAATAATCGAGTCTGGACCAGACAATCCTGTGATCAACAGCATAAGCATCGATCCGCGCAATTGGGAACTGATGGCATGTGTCAACCAAGTCAGCGAGCCTGACCACCCGATCCCGTTTGTCGCCTCTTACGACAAGCATGTTTTTTTAAAAAAAACATTTTTCATTACGACAAGCATGGGTTACTGAAGATCAATATACTAACCCGGACCTTCACCGGTTGCGTAAATAAGGTGGATATATGCAAAGTCTCTTGAACTTACAACTGTATTCCCATAGCTGTGATATATTTACCTAAACGCCTGCATTTATTGGTACACTTGTCCATTATTACACAATGTTGGTCATGCCTATAGCAGGCAGTGGAACAGACAAGTAGATAAAGCGTTCGCTCGTTTTGGGTTCGATTTCCAACATGGGTTCAATGTATGAAGTCCAATTCTGGTGTCCCCCTGCCGTGATATTACTTGAATATTGCTAATACATCTGATCAAGATTTGAATAGTTACTGACTGTCATTCAGATTTTAGGGAAGTGAGATGAAGGTAAGCGTCAGAGAAAGTCTTTCGCTATATATTTGTGACCTGAAAGGGGATCCAAACAGTGCTTTGCTATGTTATGCTATGCTATGCTATGGTAAGGTATGGTATGATATACAGTATGGTATGGGACATGACATGACATGACATGATATGGCATGATTGATATATGATATATGATACGATTTGATATGATACAGACATTTTAAGCGTTGAATGAAAATGTGGAAGATATTACAAAGAATGGCAATGGAGGCAATCTTGGTGTTGTTTTATTTCTTGTAATCAAAAGTTGTGTTTTTTCTAGTTGAGATTCTATAACATGAACAAAACGATGTAAATTCTGTTTGACAGAAGCAGATATGAACATAGAGATTTTTTCTGGATTACATCTTCTTTTTATTCTTGAGTACAACGTTTCAGGGCTTGTTCTGGCCCCATCATCAGGTAAAACTGAACAGTAACTGTTAACCTGAAACGTTGTACTCAAGAATAAAAAGAAGATGTAAAAATCTCTATGTTCATCAAATATCATCTTCTAAAATGCCAATCAAGCATCTAGAAGCAGATATGTTCTGTGACTATGACTATTATTTGTTTTGTCAGATTTGTATATGCATTTATCACATTTGTACATAACATTAAGAGTGGAAAAACAAGGTTTCTGCAAGTAATGGTCCACGTCTAACAATGTCATAAAGATAGTTCTAATTCCTATTCGAATCAATAAGGAATTAACGTTTTGTGCACTTCGAACGTGTGGAAAAATATTGTATATTCGTGAATGTGTGTGTCATGGATGAAGCTGATATTTTATAATACTCTTTGAAAATGTCTTGTTCCTGAGAAAAATAACAAACTAACCTAAAGTTCAAACCTTAAATGGAACTGTTGGAATGGTTTCGTGAACAGAAATGTTTTTACCTTCTTAAATTAAGATATCCCGGCTTTGTCAGGCATGGTTACCTGTGTGTGACGAGCCTTCTTAGAATCTGTCAAAATCCGAATGATATAATATTAACTTGAGTCATTGATTGGTAATATCCGGCGGCACTGTGCAGAGTTGCGTCGCTTAGAAGTGCAAGAATCCTGTGATTGTGTGTTCAAATCCCTCAGTCCTCCCGAAATATTGTTCTGGGCTTGTAAGCTACCATCTAGTTCTATTTATCTTATTAGGCTGTATGTTGAACACTACGTGTAAGTTCATTGTTATGTGAAATAAAATATCTATTGTTTATTTGTAGTTTGTTCTCATTTTATTGTCAAAAGGTCCACTTTCTAACCTGCAAGAAGGGTTGCTTCCTGTCGATGGTCACTATCGGTCATTCAACTGCAGTTTTACCAATGCGTTATACATACCGGCTCCGTTTCTAGAATAGTAGCAAGTGTAAGGCCGTCCGTATTTTTTACTGTGTTTCTCATCTCCCGACCGACCCAAATTTTCCTTCCGACGGAACATAAAAAAAAATATATTTTACAAAATGTTGCCGACAGCAACAATTTCAGCCCGATCAAATATGTGTCATATAAGTCAACTTATATGACAAGTCTCTCAAGCATCTAAATGGGCGATCTTTTTGAATTGATCTTCCCTTCACTACTCCGCTTGGAGCGCTGATCGGTCGGTCCAACCTTAAACTGACAGCATATGTATTATGCGCGATGGGAGCTGTACGTGTTACTAAACACTTAGAGACAGTTAACCAGTACAGCCTTCACCACCACCGCTAACGTTCACGCTGGTGCATATGGACAGTATATCTTTTCCCTCGACCGATGATATATCAAGTGTTATGACCTGAAATATTTGTTCCGTGATTCCATGATACGCCCGGGATAGCCATGACTGCATATATTGCATTAATGAACGCGAAAAGGCCATTCCAAGCGAGGCGGTGGAATCAGCTGATCGTTTTCAGGTCATGTTTTGGCGTTTTGTTGACGTTTTGCAATCGGTAATGTTAGTCTAGCACTAGATGTCTGAATATCACACTTTTAAGCCTGCAGTGTATATTCATATATTCATATGTATTCAAATCTATATCATATTACGTCGATTAGGCTGCATTCATGTAATTCAGTACGGCCAGGAGCTGATCCGGTGCGCGAAATGTGAAAATATTGTTTTGCAATGTGTGAATTCCGTCGTGAATTTTATCTGATATTTTTGTATGATGGTGCGTGTGTACTTTAAATTAGGCTGCATTCATGTAATTCAGTACGGCCGGGAGCTGATCCGGTGCGCGAAATGTGAAAATATTGTTTTGCAATGTGTGAATTCCGTCGTGAATTTTATCTGATATTTTTGTATGATGGTGCGTGTGTACTTTAATATAACATTACACATGCATGACTTTATTCAATCATTGTACATAAGTATTATCTGTTAGATTTGTAAAAATATAAATAAATGCATACACATGAAGTTATGTCATAAAAAAATTATTTGATTTTAAAAACATTTTCTATGTTAATTCCTAAAAACAGACATAACGCTAAAGTTTTCTTCGAGAACTGTTGAATGAAAATCAGAATATAAAGCTATATAGCTAGATAGTATATGGTCTGTCATATGAACTATTTTATCAACATAATGTTACCAAATATGTCTCGTGTTCTGTCGTAGGAAATGTCTTGACAATATACCAATTTTTCATGGCGTTTTCCCCATTATCTACTGTCGTGTCAATTCGTATTGCACTTGGAAATGAAACAAACTGTGGACGTGCAACCACTGTGCTACCAGTGGACGACAGCCTTTGACCCG